TCCTTCTTTGTCTCTTATGCTGGTTTTTGTCTTAAAGTTTACTTTATCGGAGATTAGTATTGCCACACCTGCTTGTTGGGTGTTCTTGTGTGTCTCCCCTCACTTCATGGCAGATGGATGCTTTACTCTCAGTTCTATCCCTCTATGGCTATATCCTTGACCATGGGTTCAGGTATCCCCAGGTCTCACCACACCAACCAACCTTGCCTCATCTCTCTCTCATCTCCAGGTCAGCGGGAGTATATGGAACGTGGTTGAACTCAGCCCATTTCTTTATTGCTGTCTTTCTCCCCTTCTACTCACCAGTAGACCAGTGTGGTCACCAGCAAGCTTACATGCCTGGTCATGTGTTCCTTTTGAGTTTCTGTCATAGAGGTAGGTTATTCCTGAAGGGTCTTGATTGCTTGCCTTGATGACTTCCCGGTGAACAACTTGCTTATTCTTGTAGTAGCCAGTCATACTGCCATTTTTGTTTTTTGTTTTTCCTGATAATCTTTCTTTGAAGCTGCATCTTTTGTCACTCTAGCTGTTTCAGGCTGGTCTGCTTGTCCTGTCTAGTGGGAATGTCCCACCTCAGAAGGTTCTGGATGGAGCTCAGGATTCCTCCTAAGGTCCTATACACTGCAAAGGCTCTGCAAGAGGCCTATTTCCCTGGGCAAGTTCTAGAACCCCTTTTAGGTAGATAGTGGAACATTTTAACAAATGTTTTGAAGCTCCCCATTTATGCATATAAGGATACATTTAATTTTTGACATTGTTTCTTATGTCCTTCCCATGAAATAAATGTTAATTATCTAAATTTCTATCAGTCCTGCTTGGAAATGGATTTATGCCATTTCTTTAGATAAACATTGATTGAGTGTATAATATTAGCCCAGAAAACCAAAGATCTCCTTTAAAAATTTTTTTTGGAAGAGGGACTAGATCTGAGACAATCATCAAACCTAAATTTAGATACAATTATGAAGTCCTCTCTCTGAAGACATCTTTTCTTATCTGAATTAGAACTGAGTCATGTGTCTAGGGAATGTGGAAAGCAGTTAAGATTCTCTGTGCTCAGAGCCCTACAGGAAGCGAGTAGTGATCCTGATGAGCTGCCATCCTATGATTCTATATTGCAGGGTGAGCTCAGGCTACTTGTTGAGGGTTCCCTGAGTCATGACAATCCATGACAGCATGCGGCTGACCCTCAGGTGCCTATGAAACAAATACCCACTTTCAGGGACTTCTTCTGTGAGGTTTTGTTTCATGCCCTCTTGAAGATTACATTCTCATTCTAATGTGTGTGTCTCCAATAGCAACATCATCTTCCCAGGGCTACTGGGACAGTTAAATCTACTACTCCAAAGTACTTGGAAGTTCATTGGCTCCATACTACAAGCACTGCACTGTGAACCACAAGTTTCATGGTTTGAGCCTGCCAGCTGCTCCACAGGTGAAAGGTGAGGCTTTCTGCTCCCTAGAAGAGTTAAAGCTTCAGAAATATTATACAGGATCACTATGAGTGGGAACCAACTCAATGGCACTTTACAACAACATATCAACTTCTTAGCAGAGTGCCTGGGCATAGGAAACTGTTTAAGTAATGATGATAATGACACTTGTCCCCCTCTAGTATAGATGTGGAGTCCAGGTGTGGTGTTGTGGGTTAATATGCTGGACTGCATGGCTGGTTTGAACTGCAAGATTGGCGGTTCAGGCTCGCCAGCTGCTCCTTGAAAACCCTATACAGGGTCACTATGGGTCAGAACCAACTCGACCACACTTAACAACAACAACAGTATAGATGTATAGTCTTTCTTTCAGATTGCTATGCTTGAAAACAGGGTTCTGTTTCTATGAGTTACTGGAGTACAATCAAAATGTGTTGATTCATTGAAAAAAACATGCCAAGTAACAAATACATAAATGAATGGGAGAATGAGCAGCTGGAGGAGCACAGAAAGCCCTTGTTACTGGGACTCTCCCAGTTTAGAGGAGCTGTCATTGTTCACAGGAGATAGCCTTTGCATCAGTTTTTAAGAAGTTGGTGGAAGCAAGAGCTTGGGTCAGCTAAACAGCATGCCTCTTGCCAGGTGCTTTCTACTCTATCACCTCTATCGACCACATCACAGTGTCTTTTCTTCTTCACAGCACATCTTACTATCCCAAATTACTTCATCTCTTTAGTGATTTGTCTACTGCTTTACTGTCTGTATCTTAGGTGGAAACATAAGCTCAGGAGGTTGGGATCTTTTTGGCTGTATCCTCCATCTCTCCAACAGTGCCTGACCCAGAAGGGAGCTCAGTATATGAGGCACATCATCATATTTGGTGAATTCATGAATAAAATACTCCACCAAAATAATATACGGTACAGGAGAAAAAGTTCCCTCTAGGAGTTAGAAATATCTCCCTCCCCACAACACACGCACAAGCCCTATCCTATCAGGATAGCTTTCTTACTTGAACCAGACCTGCATCTAGACCTGGTTACAAATACATTTGCATTTTCCAAACTTGCCATTTATTTCCAAGATCAGGACTTTGACCACATGTTTTCAAATTTGAGTTACAATGATTTTTATTACTGGTAACTTTAAATCAAAGATTGAAACTCATTACTATTCCCACTCATTGTGACCCTTTATAAGGTTTCTGACATTCTGAATATTCATGGGAGCAGACCACCTCATTGTTCTTCCATGGAGTGGCTGGTGGGTTTGAACTGCCATCTTTATATTTAGCAGTCCACCTTCTGGTAACTTCAAACAGGTCTTCATTTAACTTTCAACAGGCTTCTATTTAACCTCTATTTCAATTTACACACACACACACACACATATATATATATATATCGGATACAGAGATTGAGACATGGTTGGAATCGGGAAAAGGGGGGAAATAATGTTAAGGCTGTCTTTTGAATCTTGGTTTCCTGGCATACCATTATAATATAGCCACTTGAGGGAGAGAGAAAGGAATAGTCAGAAATATCACCATAGAAAGCTTGTAAGTCCGTCTTCGGCCTATAACTCATTGGAATACCTAAACTGAGGCTACAATGTGCCTAGTGAAGGAGGATTCCTGTGGAGCCTCTGCATTATATAAGACCATAGGTGGAATCCTTAAAAGCATCCAGAATCTTCAGAGATGGGAAATTTCCACTTGAAAGGACATGCAGACCATCCTGGAGCAGCTAGAAGAACAGAAGATACTTCTTGAAAGAAAGACTGACAGGAAAATACAAAACAATAACTGCAGACTGACTGATTCATTGAAAAAAAACAGGAGACATCAAGGCAAGTGGTCCAGTCCCCTTGGGGAAACCCCCTTCGAATACTAAGACTCAATGGTAATACATGCTCTGATTGGTGACCATGTTTGTCACCAATAAGGGGAAGTGAA